GATGGCTCAGGAGTTCATAGAACTGAACCATAAAATCATTCACATTGGAAAAGCCCTCTAAGATCATCAAGTCCAACCATTAACCCAGCACTGCCAAGGCCACCATGTCCCCCAATGCCACATCTTTTAAATCCCTTCAGGGAGGGGGACTCCACCACTGCCCTGGGCAGCCTGTTCCAGGGCTGGACAAACCTTTTGGTGAAGAAAACAGACTGTCCATGAGGTTGCTTTTCATACATAAAGGGCTTTTTAAAGTGTCCTGGGCAGTCCTGTGTCCATTTGACATATGATTTTAGCCAAAAGGTTTCAGAACAAATTTCTTATCCTACTCACTCAAAAAGTAGTTTCAAGATTTGTTTTCTGTTTTTCAACTTTATGTGCCGTCCCCAGCCACAGCTGGAAAACAATAATCATTCAAGAAAGGTTACTTTAGAACCTGAATGTACTGTTATTAAAAACCACAGTGCACAAAACTGAAGGCCTTCTTTACCTTAAAGCTACTTGGAGAAAGATTTTGGATTTAGGGCATGACTGTAACTCTGTCCCCCAGTGTGGGGGCTTGGATTAGTAATGTTACTCTCACTGACACTTTAATGCAAGCCTTGTCAGCATTTCTGTTTGGCACTTAGGCTGCTTTGACATTGCTACCATTAAAATTATTGCAATTTTTCCTATTCTAAGTAGTCTCCAAGGATGAGATCCACGCAGTCACATTTCAGTGGAAATTATATAAATCCCTTCTAGATCTGGGTCCAAGTAAGTGCAGCTCTGTCAGACAGAAAACCACCCAGCAATCTTTCCTCTTTTACTAAGTTATTTCCCTTTACTATTCTTTCATCAATTCATTTATAAACACACTCTCCTATTTTTAGTGGCACAGTACAGCATGCTCTTCTCCTTCAAGGCAGCTAACAAGAAAAAAAAAAACAAAAAGGATCCCTTCCAAGGAATAAGGTGCTCATCCAAGCTCACCTGCACACATAATGACTTCAGTAGTTCTATGCATTCCACAGAGTTTAATTTCTTGCTGGAAATTAAGAGCTCTGGCTCTCTGAAGAAGTTTCCCCAGCACAGACCACTCTGAGCAGTCCTACCAGTGAAACACCTGACTGAGGTGAACATCAGGTGAACTCCAGCACTTCCTTCAAAACTCAGCATGTTCTCAACTCCTCAAGTTAGGGCATCTTACCTGGGCTGCCAGCTGTGAGTCTCATCCTCTCAGAATGCTGGATGGATATAAGGCTGCTAATTAATAAATAAATTTTAAAAAAATTCTCTCTCCTGAACATGCTTTCTCTCCAAGCCCAAAGAAGTAAACCTTTACTTCAATACTATCAGCTTGATTAGTACTTAATAGTAAGTAAATCTAAGAGCTCTGGAACTAAGTCACCATTGTTTCCTACTCATTTGCATGTCATGGTGTGCTGACTTTAGCGTGCAAAATGTTCACATCCCAACTGAGCAGTTCCCCACTGGTGGTGTCATAATGTCTTAAGGGAGTAGCTGCACCTGCAACCTCTTCCCTCAGTTAGGGCATTCCTGTCCATCTCGTGGCTGCTTCCACAAACTCAAAGGAATCTGCACTTTGCAGTGGGATGCACAGAGCACTACTGAACACAGAGAAGCCATGAACAGCTTAGGAAGTCTCCAGAGCTAAAAACAGCTAGAGGGTCAGAAAGTACTTGGGAGGTATATGATGTACACTTGCTTGTACTAGTCCCCAGGCTATCCCTAGGTCTTTGATAACTGTCAGAAATGGGATAATGGGCTGTTTGGCTCCCTGGCCTGACCCTGTAAGGCTGTTCTATGTGCCCTTCCCTCTGTAAATGTGGCTAATGGGTCAAATACTATTTGTGTAGGGAAGAAACAACATCTATTCCTCAGTGCCTTTTCAAGGAATTGACTCAGCTCCAACCAGCATTCCAGGTGCAGTTTAGCTCATGGGGTTAGGTCTGGGCTAATTCCCCAAAGCCAAAGGGGTGTGGAGGCATAAACCTCTGTAACAGTTTCCCAAATGCTGCAGGAAACTTTATGAGGTCAGACTCAGTGCTCTGAAATTGCTCATGACCAGCTTCCCTTCCTCATTGTGTCCAGCTTATACCATATTGTGCTGGAAACAGCAGTCCAGAAACACTGGAGATGGCCAAGATCCCTTGGGGATCTCTGCATTGTGCTCCTGATCACTGCAACAGGAAGGTTTACTGAGCTGAATCCATGACTTCACACAGTGCTATGACTGACCTCATAAGCTTATAAAATATAGAAATATAAAATATTAAAGTATAATATACACATAAAAAGATAAAATATATACTTATATAAATAACATATGTATAATATATACCAATATATAAAATATAGACATACTATGTAGTAATATATAATTTAAATATATATATAATTAAATAATGTATAAAATAGCTTATAAATATATATTTTACATAGAAAATGACAATTATTTATTTATATATTATATATTATCTATGTTATATATACTTTTATAGATAGATAGATAGATAATATAATATAAGGTTATAGGAATAACCTGCATCCATGTGGAAAGAGTGCACAGGAGGCACTTTCAGGTGCAGGCAGCTTCAGACTGGCATTGCCAGATTCAAACTGTCTCCAGGGACATCACTGAACCCTTGGATCTAAGGTGCCAGTACACAGCTCCAAGTAGGACTTTTGGAAAAACTTGGGAAAAAAAAGCCTTTGATATCATGAATGTGGAGGTAATGAGTAACCCAGACGGGTAACACAGAATCAACAGCAGTTATACAGGTGCTGAAACACTCCTGAGCTTTCCTCAATTCCCTCCAATGCTCCTGAACATGACTCGTGGAAGCAGGCAGCCCCTACGTCACAGAAATAACTGAAAATAAAACTTTATGCTGCACATACGGGGCGGTTTCCAGCCTGAACCAGTTCAGTGCATTTACATCCTGTTCCTGCGAACGGGAGCACATGAGCCACCCCGCTCCCATCCCGGGAATATTAATGCTGCCAACAAGACCTTCCCGCGGTCCAAGGGGATCTTCCCCGAGCCCTCCAGCCTCTCCAGTGCCCGGAGACACTTTAGTGGGTGAGGAAACACGAGTCTTTCCGCTTCTCTAGGGGCAGCTGGGGGGATGCTGGGGGAGCTTGCGGCAGCAGCGGGGCGAATACTTCTTACTGATGAGATATACGCGTAAAAGTAAAAAAAAATTAAAAATCAGAAATAGAAAAAAGGAAAAATAAATAAATAAATAAATAATAAAAAAAAGGGAAGAATAACAACGAAAAGAACCCACAGGAGGCGAGTCTCGGCCCTCCGCACACACGTGGTTCCCTCTCCATCTCGTCCGCCAGCCGGGGCCGCCGCTCCCCCCTTGCCCAGACGGCACCGGGGCCGGTCCCAGACCCCTGTCCCGGTCCCAGATCCTCATCCTGGTCCCTGTCCCAGTCCCCCCACCCTGAGCCGTACCGCCGGGGCGCTGGGTCCGCACTCCGATGTAGCCCCGCAGCTTTTTGAGGGCGCGGTCCCGGATGCGTTTCTCGTTGGCGGCCAAGCGCTGCGCGAACTGGACCTCGGGCGGCTGCACGGCGGCGGGAGCCATGGCCGGGCCGTGTCCCTGTCCCTGTCCCGTCCCTGTCCAGCCTCGTCCCGTCGCTATCCCAGCCCGTCCCGGCCGGGCCCGTCCTGCCCGCGCCGCGCCGGGCTCCGCCTGATGCCGTCACGGGCCCCGCGCTCTGCCGTCACCGCGGGGAAGGCGGAGCGCCGGGATGGGCGCCGGGAATGCCCCGGGAGCGTCGTGGGAGGGACACCGCGGTCGGTTCGGGAGCTCAGCGGGGCGAGCGGGGCGGAGACACGGGAGGTCCTGGGACCCCGCAGGATCATTTAGGTTGGAAAAGACCTCTGAGGTCATCGAGTCCAACCTGTGACTGATCCAACACCTCGTCAACCAGACCCTGGCACTGAAGAGCCACGTGCAGCCGTTTCTTGAACACCTCCAAGGATGGTGACTCCAGCACCTCCCTGGGCAGCGCATTCCAATGTTTAATCACCTTTTCTGTGAAAAAATTCTTCCTGATGTCCAACCTAAGCTTTCCCTGCTCCAGCTTAAGGCTGTGTCCTCTGATCTTGTTGCTGGTTGACTGCGAGAAGAGACCGACCCCCACCTGGCTACAGCCCCCTCTCAGGGAGTTGTAGAGAGCCATAAGGTCCCCCCTGAGCCTCCTTTTCTCCAGGTTAAAATCCCCCAGCTCCCTCAGACGCTCCTCATCAGATTTGTGCTCCAGACCCTTCACCAGCTCCCGTTGCCTTCTCTGGACTTGCTCCAGCACCTCAGTGTCGTTCCTGAATTGAGAGGCCCAGAACTGGATACAGAGCTCAAGGTGTGGCCTCACCAGTGCCGAGCAGAGGGGGGGGGCAGTCACTGCGCTGCTCCTGCTGGTCACACTTATACAGGCCGGGATGCCACTGGCCTTTTTGGCCACCTGCGCACACGCTGGCTTATGTTCCTGACTGTTGACCACCATCCCCAGGCCCTTTCCCACCTGGCACTTTCCATCCCCTCTTCCCCCAGCCTGTAGCACTGCAGGGGGGTTGTTGAGACCCAAGTGCAGGACCCGGCACTTCACCTTGTTGAACCTCACACCACTGTCCACGGCCTATCGATCCGGCCTGTCCAGATCCCTCTGCAGACCCAGCAGATCAGCACTCCCAACAAGCCCAACTTGGTGTCTTCCACGAATTTACTGCAGGTACGCTCGACAATGTCACCCGCTGGAGCCATCAATACAGCGACAACGCAGCAGGGCCGGGTTCCCGGTGTTGTCCCTGTGTTGTCCCGGTGTTATCCCGGTGTTGTCCCGGTGTTTCCCTGGGCCGCTCCAGCCGGGACTGGGGGCGGGGCCTGACTGGAGACCACGCCCAGCCCACACCCCGACCCCGCCCACTAATTGCGAAGGGGGTGTGGCCACGGCGCGGCCCGTCCCGCCCTCAGTCCCTCCCGGCCTCAGTCCCTCCTTTTCCCCACCGCACGACGCTCTGTCCCTGCTGTCGCCTCTATCGCGATGTGGCGCTGTGCCGGCCTCGCTGGCGACGCGCAGGTATCGCGACCGGCCCGCCCGGTGCATGGGGCTGAGCCCGGCCCGAAGTTCGCTGTGGGGCGTCCCCATGAGGGGTTTGTGGCGTCCTGGGCCTTGTGGGGCCCTGAGGGGCCGCGGGGAGAGGGGAGCGCGGTGGGGGCTGTGGAGCGGTGCCAGTGGCACCCTGGGGTGGTGGGAGGGTGAGTGGAGAAAGGGCTGGCAGCGATTCCATGCCGGGTACCCATCGCCAGCTGGGATCTGTTCAGATCCCGATGCCAGGTGGGGAAAGGGGATTCCCTTCACTGGGAGCTCTGCCCTGTTCAGATCCCACTGCCAGGCAGAGAAGGGAGATTCCCTTCACCGGATTCACACCACGCAGGTTGTGACCTCAGGTGCATAACTGGGTGACTTGACCCTTATGGAAGAGCTCTGCGAGGACTGGAGTCAAATCTACATCCAGGCACCTGGTGTTACTGTAAGAACTGGACACAAAACTCTTCCACTGTCTGTGTTTGCTTGTAACACGCTGTTGTAGTGCAGGGAGATGCTGAGTAGCTGCTTAAGCAGAGAAAATAAAACTTGTCCATTGTAGCTGCAGTACTGCAAAGATGTTTGCTTACAGTGGGAACTCTAAATGAGAATATTCTCCTTGCCATATATTTCATATCTCCATCCCAGTACTTCACAGCGTATTTTGTTTGAATTTAGCTTCTGCCAGTGAACAGAGCTACTTCTATGCTTTTAAGCACTAAATTGTGCTCCCTAATTCTGAGCAGTACTGAATTGTCTCTGTCCTTCCTGGTTGCTGACATGCAGATGGTTTTCCTCTATAAAGTCCTGTTGCCATGTGCTTATTCCATGCTTTCATGAGACATAAATGAGTTGCATTTTTCTTGAGTCACGTGATGGTGCTTTACCATACTCACTTTGCCATAGGCACTTCCTAATGCAACTTAGAGCATGTAATTCCAGTTGAAAGCAAAATCTTCCATATTTTCATTGCAGTTTTGATACCTCTGAACCAGGAAAGGTGGGACTGACCTGTTCTGAACCAAAACTGTCTGGCTTTGAAAGACAGCTGGGAAAGAAATAGAGTAGGAAGCAAAACTGAAAGGAAAATTTTAACCTCAGGAAGTAGGGAAGCAGAAAGAGAGAATTATAGGGAATGGTTGGAAAGGATGACCTCTGTTTGTCTAATTCTCAATGAAGTACAAAACAGTACTAAGATATGTTACAATCTTGCTTTGTGAAAGCTTATCTGATTGATGTTTTAGTCAAAACATGTTAAAACCTATTTTATGTCAGTGTATGTGGCAGCCTTATTAAGATCCAGCAGTGTGCACGTGTATGTACATCAGAAATTAGAATGTAGGAGTTTTTTGGTACAAAAACTGCTCTATAACTTTAAGATTAACACACATTCCATTGGAATATGGAATTAAAATTATTTTAAAGCAATAACTTGGCAGAAGAGGAAACCAGTAGACATTTTCTGTCTTACTTTGGGTTTAAATTATTTATGTGGGATTGGGTTGCAAATAATTTTTGCTCTTCACAGAAGCTAAATTCATTTGACAAAGTACAATTTCCTCCAAAAGAGTTGTTGTAATTTATGACTGAGGATCTTGCAAATATTTGAATTAATTAAAAAACTGAGTTATCATATTTTGCAGCAGTCATGAAACAACAGCTTGGCACATGCATGGCTGCTCACAATTTAAAATGTGTGTGTTAATTTTTGCAGCATTCTGGGCTACACTGCACATATTTTGGGTGAAGAAACAGACACAGAGAGGTAATATGACTTGCTTTAGGCCAGAATGGCAAAAATTAGATTACAGCAAAGGGTCCATCTCAAAGACTTTTGGGTTTAATTACTGTACTGTTCTCTTTTAAAAGGTTATGAGTTTCTGAAATTATGTCACACAGAGGAATGTTTTCGCCATAGAAAAAAGATTCAAGCAGAAAAGCACTGCAAGGCTGTAACAGCGTCTTTGTTTGGTTCTCGGTTTCTTTGTTTTGTTTTGTTGTTTTATTTCAGAAGGCTGAGACCAAAGAGGAATTTGTCAAAGTTAGAAGAAGGGATTTGGAAAGGCTGACAACTGAGGTTATGCAATTGCGGGATTTCTTACCCAAAATAGTGAATGGAGATATCCTGGGGACACTCCAGAAACTGGATGCTATTGAATCAAGTGAGTAGTACCATGTTACAATCTCTTACAGTTTCTGCCCAAACTACTTAGAACAAACTGCTGTGCCCCTACAAATAGTTGTAGAGTTTGTGGAGTTATTCCAGATTAAACTCTGCTGTCCAATGGCTGCTTCAGCAAATTAATGTGTTTGTAATGAAGGAGGTTACAGACTGCATTAGAAATAATCAGGCACGTCAAATTAATCTTTACAAATATTTTACTGTGGATAAAAACATACTTAGTTGAGGCTGTAAGGGGAGCTGTATCAGGAAAAAAATGTTTTCCCTTTGAGAGAAGGTGAAAGCATGCTAGTTTTCAAAAAGTCACTTTGCACAGAAAAATAAAACCAAAAAATGATGGTAAATAGCAGTGGATAAGAAGTTAAAGGAAGAGACAGCATCATTGTATTTGGCCTATCTTGTTTTTTAGTATGCATATTTTTATTACTATAAATACTATTAATAAAAAAAAAGTTGAAGACTATAATAAAAGTGTTTTTACTGCTGTCTGCACAGGCAGTTTCTCAGTGTTATGTTTCTCTGTGCATTAATTTTTTAACAATTACACCATTCCTAACATGCCATCAGGACCAAATTGGAGTCAGCTCCATCCCTGGCCTGTAGCTTCCCTGCAGCTGTACAATTCAGTTGTTATCCTAGGAGTTGGTTTTGCCTGGAAAGACACAGGACAAGCAGTGAGACAGATTACATAGTGTTGTCTCTTCTAGAATATTAAGTGATAAATGGAAAATTAATTTGCCACAGCTAGTTAGAAAAGAGTAAGATAGAGCCCCAAGGCCTGTTTCTGACCAAGTAACATTGGAGCAAAGCTTCCAGCTGCCTCAATGATCCACATTTTGGAAAGATTCTTCCATGCCATCAAATCCTAACAAAGATGGGAAGGCTGTACTACCTCTCCTGCTGCTAGTTGACATGTCATCCATGTCACAAGCAGAGATGTAGGATCTGGAAATGTTCTTTTTGTGCTGTTGTAAGGCATCAAGACCTTGTTTCCAGTTGCACTAAGTGTTCAAGATCCTTAACTAAGTCAGATCCTTCTTTTAGCTGCTTATTTCACTCACTGATCCTTCTTACACTCCTTGTGCCAGGCATCAAGGAGACACTGTCAGGGTCTTCTAGCAGCAGGTTTGTGGATTTTAAGACTTCTTTAAATGTTCTGCTGTCTGTCCAGCACTCTCTGGGTCCTCAGGGGGAGGACCTGAGGCTGAGTCAGCCTTTGAGCTCTAGCTCACAGCAGAGTTTTCTCTTGCAATTAATGAGGTCATTTAATATTTGTTCAGGCTCTGGCCATTGTTTGCCCCTGCAGCTGGACAAGTCAAGTGGTGATTTTTGCTGCTCCCATCTGCTCCTACCTCTGCATCATGCCATAAGACAAAAGCAGGCTTTGGAGCATACAGATCACAAAAGGCTGGACATAGGAGGGACACAAGCAGCCTTTACTCTCAGAATGGTGCTGTTTATTACATACAGTCTCTTGGTGTGGCATGTGAAGCTTGCAGGAGTCCTGGCAGCTCCTGGAGATGTTTTTTCACGTTGTTCTTGCAGAAGCCTAATGTGTGATTTGTACATCTCTCTGCAGACTTTGATCAGCTGTTGCAATTTTGTAAGTACTGTGAACACAAAGTTCCTCCTCTTCTTGGCAAAGTCTCATGTTCCTCAAGAACTACAGATTATAGTCAGAGACTTTCAACACCTCTGGCCCATTTGGTTGTGACAGAGATGGAGTCTTGAATAGCTTGAAGAAACCTTGAGATCTTTGCATGTTTTACTGGTGTGTCTGGGTCAGTAGGATACCCATTTCCTATGGGAGCTTCCCTTGAGTGTTGTCTGAGATCTGAGCTGGCAGTGCTCGGTGCAGCCAACACCTACTTTTCAGGCTGGTGTCAGGATCTTCATTAAGGCTTTTGTCAGGGTAATTGTTCGTTTAGAAAAGAAAGGTGTGTTTTGTTCTGACTACCCTCCTCAGGGAGAGTGTTTGGCTCCAGGAAACTTAGAAAAACAGCTCCAAAAATCTTTCTGTGTTATGTTTAGTGGAACATAAGGATGGTGCCAAAGTCTTTCCGGTGGTTCCCAGTGACAGGATGAGGAGCAATGGCCATAAACTACAACACAAGAAGTTTCTACCTCAACATGAGGAAGAAGTTTTTTTCGAGGCTGTCAGAGCACTGGAACAGGTTTTCCAGGGAGCTTGTGGAGTCTCCCTCTCTGGAGATGTTCCAAACGCACCTGGACGTGTTCCTGTGTCACCTGCTCCAGGTCACCCTGCCTTGGCAGGGGGTTAGACTGGATGATCTCCTGAGGAACCTTCCAACCCTGACTATTCTGTGATTCTGTGAACTCAGTCCACCTGGGAAGTGTTAAAAATAGCATTTAACATAGATCCAGCTTTTGGATCAGAAGAATTGGAATTCCATCAATTGTCAGCATTCATCCTAATTATACTCAGTTCTCCATGTCCCAGAGCTTTGAGATTTGATCTCTGGTCCAGAAAATCTCCTGCATGGATGAGAAAGAGTCTACTTCACACCTGAAATGTGGCCTCCTTTTCTTCCTTGTGCCCAGTGCCTTGTTCTGCTGTTGAGTCTCTGTCTCAGGAGCAAATGCCACTTCTTCCCAGAGTCTGATTTACCACTGCAGTGGCGCAGTTACATATTTCCTCTTTGTATAACAATTCCACTTCTTATTTGTTTGCTCACCCAAGCTGATAGTGAAAGCTGCTTCTTTCTCTTCAGAGCAAAGGTGCAGCTGAGAGGGCTGACTGGGCATAGTAGGGGAGTTTCCAGGAATGAGGCACAGACAAGTGGGGCTCTTTTCAGCAGCTTCCAATATTATCCTTCTTTTTTCCTTCGACATAAAACATCATGATACCTTAGAGGATGTTGACACATCCTTTTTTATCTGAAGGACTTTTAAAAATAAAGGTTACGTTATGTTAACACTCAGTAGTTAATATTGTTCCCTTCTGGCTCAGGTTTTGTTCCAGGACCTTTTAAGTCTGACAGTGAAGGATGTGGCACCTTTGTGTGTCTACTGGCTGGATTCAGGTTGGATCCATCCTCTCAAAGGCTGGAAGTGATTCTTTTCTTTCAGGAGAGCTTGTTTCCTTGAAGGAACAAGAGATTTTCACTGGATGTACCTGACCAGAATAAACAGGTTCTTGGCTGCTATTGATAAGCAGATTCATTCAGGCTCAAGACATCTTTCTGTCAGCTACTTAAGACTCACACCTAAATAGTCAGAGGTGAATGGGACTGACTTTTTGGATAATTTTTTAATGATGTTGTCTTTTTATGGTTTCATTCGTTATGATCTTTGGTAACTGCATTGAAAGATATTGACCACGTGTAAGGGGAAGTTTGTGAAGCCTTAAGCCACAGACCAAACTGTCAAGATCAAGTGTATGGTGCTCAAAATGGGCTGTAGCTTGTTCTTTTTTTTAAGCTAACCAAAATTGCAGTAGATGCTGTTTAAACATTACTTTTTGGAACTACTTAAACGTATTTCCTTTTTTCAGTGTAAATACGAATTATCCAGGACTATGGGATTTAAAGTAAAATACAATACAAAACTATTGTTAAAAATATCCCTCAAAGTGATTTTTTTTAAAACGGGCACCATGATGGTGAAATAGATTTTTAAATTGATTTCTGTTCACTAAGATAAAGTATCTAAATTGGAATGTATTTCTGATACGGTCAAAAATTAACTTTTTTAAGGGAATCATAAATTTTGCTTATAACTGACGTAAAGTTTAAATAGTTTGTAAAATCACAGAACAGTTTGTGTTGGAAAGGATCTTAAAAGTCATCCAGTTCCAACCCCCTGCCGTGGGCAGGGACATCTTTTAGTAGAATAGGTTACTTATAATACTTTATAAACATTAATTTAAATGTTTTGAATAGTTGCATTTCATTCTTACTGTTTATAGAAGTTATATGTTGTATATTGAAACACACACTTGAATGATCTTGGTGTTTTTCTTAGGTTTTCAGTAGACTCACTGAATTGAGTGAAATTCCACTCACTGAATTTTCATGAAAACCATCATTAAAACAAAGCAGAAAATTGAGTAAATTCTAACAAACCTGATCAGCACGCAGTATTTTACAGCTGGATGTGATTCTTTCAGTCTTTCCCAGTTTTAAATCAGAAACGTGTTCATTTACTTGCTCAGAACTGTTGTGATGTGGCAAATCGTGAGATCCCGGTTTAGCCACGGGGAGGTGATCTCGCACAAGCAAACAGCCACAGCACCTCGGGAAAGCTGCTCTTGGTGGATCCTCTTTTCCTTAGTGCAGCCCCTTGGTCATAATGTGTCACTTCGTTTATCTTGATTTATCCTGTCACAGACCTGGAGAAAAAGGAGGAGGAAGTTCAGCAGCTGAGAATGGATTGTGAACACTTCAAAGCCCGTCTGGAAACGGCCCAGGCAGATTGCATGAGAGAGAAGAAGGTAGATTTGCTGCCATAATATTGGTATCTGTGTGCTTGAGTTTTCATGATAAAAGCAGTAATGATTGCTCTTCAGACTGAGGATTTATTCTGTGACATGAACATGAAAAACAATCTGGGATTTCTATCCATATAGTCAGGTGGTGAGGAAATTATGAATCTAAAAGTTCGTAGCTGATGGTTTTTTCCCCTCTTGGTATTTCCAAGCAAAAGAGTCAATATTGTACCTAGGCAAAATACTGTGGGATGCAGTCCCAAAAAGTAGTCAAAGTGTACAGAGGAACCACTGAGGTACAAAACTCCTGCATACCTGCATGAGTCTCTCACAGTCCATACCATGTGGGGTGTGGTTGTATGGGGTCGAAATACAGGTTCTTGGCAGGGTTTGTTTTGTTGTATGTGACTTTAAAAAAACAGGCATTTGGTTTATATGAACATGCTGAAGTAAAACGTTGGGTATTTGGGAAGATTGTGGTATAGCTGGTATGAAAATGTGCTTCACAGAATCAGTTCTTTTGACTTTAATGTAACTATAACGTATTTTCAAAGAGGACAATAGAAGATAATTTAAGCAATGCAATGTACAGAATGAAACCAGCCTCTTTTTTGGCTTTCTGTGATCTATGCACCTTTTTTTTTTGGTGTTAGTAGTCTTTCTCAGTGCACATATTGATCCAATTGCCATGTACATCTGCGAATCAAAGAGCAATTACAGGGCTCCTTTTGCTCTGTCAATATTGTGTTTAGTGATTATGAGAGAGGAGATTCTGAACAATGAAGGAATAACAAAGACAGTGACTTCTCTGATTGTTGGTTTTCTGTGAAGCAATTGGGGTTCAAATGGGTGTCTGTGAGAATCAGTGGTGATTATTTGCTGCAAAGGTTCATTTCCTTGGAGCCATCTTCAGCAGAAGCTCATGTTGTTGGAGTTCTACAGCTGGCATTTGCCAGCCCTGGGATTGCACAGAGATAGATGAATCTGCAGAAATTATTTCATTTTTGAAAAGGAATAAATGAAGAGTTTGGACGTATAGTTTTAGTGAACTTCTGCGTGGACAAGTCATTCTGGAATGAAGTTTGATATGATGGAATAGTTGTCTTTCGGGATATTCCTTCAAAGCAGGGGTAGCTATTGCAGTTCAGCAATAGATACACAGTTTTGCTGTGCACCCACATCCTCAGTTGTGTAACCATCCAGGATGAAATCCCTGTAAGATTTACTGTTGCTGCTTTAGATATTAATGAAGTGGGTCCCACCCATTATTCTTGTTAACACTACAAAATAAATGGCAGGTGGTTTGGGTTTGTGTTTTCTTTTGGATGAGTTTTACTTAAAGCATGGATAGAGTAGTTGTTTTAGTGTTCCTGATCAAAGCTCTTCTCATCATGTCTTTGCTGTTGTGCAGTATGGCATTGTCTAAATGGGTTCTGTTATATGCCAGGAAGGTGTGAGCAGATTGTGCTTATGATGTGAACTCCTTTAGCTCTTCAGGTTACAAGAAGATGGTGTGTGTATATGTGTGATTTTTAGTCCTGTTAATCACTTGCCTGGTGTTTCTCATTTGCTTGCTGTTCTGCTATAGGCATCCTTCCATAAAGTTTCTGAATTATTTGCTAAATATTTATCTTCTGAAGGAAAAGGAAATGATTCACTGAAACAAACATAAAGTAAACGCATTTTCTGGTTGAGCAGTGTCCTTTTCTGAGACCATCATAAATCAACATTTTTGCATTCCAAAATCTCTGTGCAGAGCTGGATCACTGATCAGAAGTTGCTGTGCTTTCTGAACCTCAGCAAAACTTGAAGTGCACGTGTTATTCTTGGATGATGTCTTCTTTGTCTGTCCTTTTGGAGTTCCTTACTTGGGCAGTGCTGTGTTCTTGTGCCTTGACCCTTTCCTGAAGATGGTGGTGTTGCACAGCACAGGGATTGGGTTGTGCTGTGAACTCTCAGGAGTGTTGCTTCCAGTTGGTTATTTGCTTTTGCAGGCTCCGTTTATTTTCCTGGCTCTGCACATCAGCCTGCACCTCAGGAAGTCCCCCACCGTCCCCACATCACCATCGGCCAGTCAGAACTCAATTCAGTCCAACAGTTTAATTACCTAGGCAGCCTCATCTCCTCAGATGGTAAGATTGATGGGGAGATAGACAATAGGTTAGCGAAGGCATACAGTGCTTTTGGAAAACTCCATAAACGAGTTTGGCGTAATAAACACTTGAAGAAAAGCACCAAGATCAGTGTTTACAGAGCCATAGTGCTGTCTACTCTTTTATATGGTTCCGAATCATGGGTCATCTACCGCCACCACCTGCGTCTCCTAGAACGCTTCCATCAACGCTGCCTCCGTACAATCCTTAACATCCACTGGTCAGACTATGTGACCAATACATCTGTTCTCGAACAGGCAGCAATCACAAGTATTGAGGCCATGCTCCTGAGAACGCAACTGCGTTGGGCAGGGCACATCTCTAGGATGAAGGACCACCGCCTCCCTAAGATCCTGCTCTATGGTGAACTTGCCACTGGCTGCCGCAAGAGAGGAGCTCCAAAGAAAAGATACAAGGACTCCCTGAAGCAACAACTCAGCCTCGGGCATATTGATCACCATAACTGGTCCACTCTGGCCTCTAATCGGGAGGCCTGGAGACAGACCATTTATAACGCTGCTGATGCTTTTGAGAAGGCACGCAGGATCACTCTTGAGGAGAAAAGACAACGCAGAAAGAATCGAACCTTGCAGAATATACCATCTAAGGAGTCTTTCTGCTGTGTCTTTTGCAACCGGACTTGCCTTTCTCGTATTGGCCTTTTTAGCCACCAACGCGCTTGCATGAAAAATGGGTAGAGCCCTTCCCAAATCTTCGTTCGCGAAGCCTAGCCATGATAGTGAATGTACTATTTTGTTTCCCTTGCCTCATATCTTTGTTCTGATGCTGCTTTTGATCTATTAAAAATTCTGGCATTTCTTGTGCTGGCTTTACATCCTTGTTGAGGGATCTAGCTTTGGTATTTACTGGGTTTTATGTCTTACTATTCAGTGTTAGCATCCAAATGCAAAATGCAAATAAAATGTATTAAAGATACATTTTCCTAAGAAAAGGACAGTGCGGGAAAGACAGGGAGATTATAGGGATTAGGTAGGAAGATGCCTGTGGACATTTTGTTGATGCATATGGTTGCAGAAAAGCTGATAGGCCTGGCAGTGAGTCATGTAAAAGACAGAATTTGGCCAATTTACTTAAAAACGATCAAAGTATTAAGAAATAAGAGACTTTTCCTGGGAGACTGTACCTACGAAATCACCAGCAAGTGTCAGTCTTTTGCATGTGTTAATCTGTAAGGTGAAAGAGACTCCAGAGAGTAAATATGCACAGAAATCTACTCGATAAATTTAATTTGAACTTTACAAATCCTCGCCTGCGTGTTCCATTAGCAGCACGATAAAGCAGCGCAAATCAGGCTGTCAGGTGTGATCAGGGGGCTCAGCAGGTAATTGCTGACAGACAGAGAACAGGCAGCTTTGTGCTGGTTGATATCACATTACATAAATTTTCAGGTGAGTTTGCTTTTCTGGTTCTTTCCAAACCTTCACACAAACCATTGAGGTGAACCTGCAAAATTACAAGACAACGATTTTAAAATCTTGATGGCAATATATGGTTGAAAGTCTTGTTCTGTTTAGGTGCTTTCAAAATCTACACAGAAAAGATTCCTCATTTCTCACATCCTGATATCCAAACACACTGGGGAGGCTGGGCTGAGGAAGGTGTTTTCTGTGGTGAATTTGAAAATCCCATGTCTGTAAAGTGGGCAGAGTAAGATCCTTCTGTTCTTCTGATGTTGTGTGATCTGCAAATCTCTCTCTCTTTCTTTCTCTCTTCTAATATGTGAATTAGCATCATTTTTCTGGACTGGCCTTTGTCTTTCCATGCAGCACTGTCTAATACCACCCTACTTGGAGATAGCAGGGAGCTCCCACCCACCCTGAGAAACCACAGACTGCAGAATCCCTGCCTGACTCTCCCTGTCTGTGCTGGCTCTAAGCTGAGAAGTGCAGCAGCTTTGCTACCCCTGTGGCAGTTGGTTGGAAGGCAGTGAGACCTGGAATCATACTCAGTCTCAGGATATTCTTCCAGCCAGCTTCCCATGTGATTGGGAAAAAGTACTGCCAAATTGAAACTGTGCTCTGGTCATGTAGGTTTGATCAGTTCTCTCTCTATGCTTTGTGGCAAGAACCACTGAGCAGTTCACTTAGGTGATGATAGAATCATAAAATCACAGAATGGTTTGGGTTGCAAGGGACTTTTAAGATCATTCAGTTCCAGTCCTCTTGCCTTGGGCAGGGAACCTTCCTCTAGACCAGGTGGCTCAGAGCCCCATCCAACCTTATGGATGCACAGTGGTGCCTCAGCTTTCTTGATATGAAAGGCCCTCCAAACTTCAAACCTTAGATATGTTTTTCCAGGGACTTTGTGTTACTTTGCTGATCAGTAATATGCCAATAGAAAAAATTTGGAGGAGACAACAGTATTTATCCTAGATATCTAGCCATGTTGGCTAAAGAAATTTTGAAAAACAGAGCACCCCTCCTTTCCTGTCAGATGTTTCCAGTATCTCTTGTAAGGTGTCAGGGAAGGCTGTCCCCTGATGCTGAAATCCCCTCTCTCCTGAGGAGACATGGAGCTGTTTGCTCAGGAGGAGATGACTCTCCTATCAGGCTTCTCTGGGTGCCACTCAGTCTCGGGGGGTCACTTGGTTTGACCTTGTGGACAGGCTTCTGGTTACTGTCAGCCTCCACGATGTCCTGGCTGCTTAGACACAGCTCAGGGGAGAAGGTACGTGTCTGCCACTGCTCTGGGTGTCCCTGCATTTCATATACGGCCATGATGTCTTGTTCTGTCACTTAGACTGGAAACTCGTGGCTGATAGGAAGTGCAACCAAAATTTCCTTGCGCTTTTCCAGGAGAAACTGGACCTGCGGCAGCAGCTGAACGAGGCCAAGCAGCAGCTCCTGCAGCAGGCAGAGTATTGCACAGAGATGGGGGCTGCTGTTTGCACCTTGCTCTGGGGGGTGTCCAGCAACGAGGAGGCTGTGAAAACCATTCTAGGAGGAGTAAGTATGGCAGGTGAATGCTGACCCCTGGTAATGCTGTCAGGCCTTTAAAATAAGGACCTTGCTGTGTCACACTTTTAAGGATATATTTCAGAAATTCTTCGGGCAGCAAAAATGTTTTCTGGTTTGCATGTTCATCCATTCTCATTTAAGAATTTTTGGAGTTATGAAGTGTTATGAATAAATGCAGTAATTAATTCTCACATTTCCAAACAAGGGTTGTCTGTTTTCCACCACACACAGTTAAACTGGAAGCAAGGCTACAGCCAGCACAATGTAAATATCTACATGAACTAACAGAAGGAGAAAATAATTCCTGGGCATATGCAGGAGTTTCTATGCCTGTAGGGAGCTTGGAGGAGCTATTTCCATGGAAGGAAGACAGATCCATTGATTCTCATCTTACTTTAAGTGTTTGTGCTGCTGTAATATTTGCATAACTCTTGGAAATTTAAGAGAGCCTTGCTGCTAGGGGATCTGATTAAATCTTCAATGTTAAACCTGGACAGATAGATTATTTAAAAAAAACAAACAAAAAAAACCAAACCCCGAAACAACAACAGTTGATGACAGTGGTAATATTACAGCTAACGCAGTTTCACTGCCAAGAGGAGCTGATGGAATTAGTAGGGATCAGAGGAACAAGCCTGATAAAAATATGATTTTCATTCCTGACACAGCCAACATGAGAAGGAATTGCTGTGTTTAATCTGAGTGAACTGGAGCCACAATTTCTTCTGGCTTGATTTTTCAGCAGCATGATGAGCAGCTGAGTGAATAGGATTAGTTCATTATAGTAAGTGGTAAAGTAGTGTGTTTGTAAGAGGTGTTCTAGTTTGGATGCACCAAAATACAATTACAACAATACTGGATATTAGAAAGCTGTACAATGACGCCTTTTGGTGATGACTTCTGGTGATTCAAGATCCAAGCAGCCGCAGTTACTAAGGAAAAAAAGTCTCCTAAAACACTATATAAAGCAGATAAATTTTACAACAAAGGGCAGGTTGTTGAAAGCAGTCTTAGGTGTCAAAATTCAGTAGAATTAGGTAAAAACAAAACTGTTACCTGAAGATTTGTATAAACGTAAAAAGCATAACTGTGAAGATGCAATATTTTGGGGTTTAGGTTGGTTTGAAATGCAAAATACTTCTTCTGTAGTCAGTTCCAGCAATCATTAGAGCTCATTGAACTGCTGTACTTCTGGTGAAGCTCATGGCAACATTTCTGGGCTTTGTTTTCTTGTGATGGTGCACATAACATGGTAAAAAACGTGCCTGGGTTTGCAACAAGACTACTAGGAAAACATAAATGGGTTGTGTGGCATTGTGTCAGCCACAGATTATAATTGGCAATGAGTCAGGTCATTAAAAGATGATGAGAAATTTGTCATACAAAGTTTTTAGTTTGGGTTATTTTGGGACAAGTTTCACAGCCTGTAGCATCTTCCCCCTCCCCTGAGAATGTGCCATGAACTACAGAAAAGGATGAGAACATTAAGAATGCTTTAAAATGGATGCTGATGTTTAAGTGCGTGGGGAAGGTGGCATCAGTTCAGAATCATTTCATGCCTTAGGGAACAATGCCCAAGCTTTTTTTTTTTTATTTGCAGCAATACAGAAGTAGGTCTTTCTTACAGTCCTATAACACAAATGGACTGAAATGGTGTCAGTGACCAGTACACCATTTGTGTCCATATGGGCTGGGAAAATCAAAACTCAAGCAGCAGATTTGAAATGTGACACAACTAAGTTTTCGAGGCACTGGGGGCTGTTTCTGCCCATGTGTAATGTTCCTAGAGAGAACTTGAAGAAACATCCAGAGAAGCAGCACGAGAGAGAGTTCTCAAGTTTTCCTACCTGCACGTGCCAAAAAAGAAGTAAATGAATTCCCATGACATTGTTTTAGATGTCTTTCAAAAAGCTTCAACCAGATATGTTGAGGTTCTCGCATGGAAATGCAACCTGAAGGTTTGATTTCAGAATGACATTAAGGCTTGCTTCAGCTTGAGAGATCTGGGATCCTACAAGGTTTTCTGCTACCTCAGTTGTCTGCTATGGTGACAAATGACTTTATGGGAGCAATTTCTCATATTAACTGATGATTTCACACAGGAGTTACATGGACAGCAAAGGGTTCGTGCACCATCTGAGCTCAATAGCTCAATAGCTCAATAGCTCCTTCATAGCTGCTCTCAGAACTGTCCTTATCTCAATGTTTGTGGGTGAGACATTTTTCAGTCCCATGAAAATACTGTCAAGCTAATAAGACACTGTGCAGAGTATGCAGTGTTTGCTATTTATAAACCTGATGGGTCTCTGCTGCAGCTCCTCAGACCTCAGCACTAGTGAAGTAATGGCTGTTTGGACAAGAGGTTCAGCAGAGAGAACACCAATGGCACCTCAGGAGATCAGCAGAGAAGGTTTTCCTTGTTTTCTGTGCAAAATAACAACTACTCAGTGTGCTTACTACTCTCTTATGTTCCCATGTGAATATGTATTTTCACAGTAGGCTCTCTTCATTTTCTCTCGCACCTTCTGTTTATTAACTGTGGTCACTGCTTGTGTTAAAATTGCCATCTTTGAGGTGTGGAGTCCATATAAGTATAAAACCTACATCCAGCACATGCAGAAATGCAGTTGTTTCCAACCTCTTTGCCCATGATCCCTTCATTGCTGTTATTCTGGGACCACAGAATCACTTCAGAAGATACTGAGTGCTGGCTGAGCCTGCTTTTTGTGCCCTGTTTCTCCTGGAGTCACCCCACAGCAACTGAACATCTTTGATGTGATGAATGTTCAGCAGTGGAGGAATAAATAAATGTTATCAGGAGCTTTGCATGTATTGTGAAAGTAGTAATTTTTAAAAGGTATTAAAATTTTCAGTGGCTTTAAAAAAAAGGAATAAACGTTCAGGCATTTATTGACCTCTTCCATTGGATCACTGCTGGGAATGACTAAGAGTTTCAGCTGCTTCATGAAACAAATGGAAAAATTAATAAAGACACTGGGAAACCCAGCATTATAGGCTCTCTGCTACACTGTTTTGGTTATGAAAACCTTCATACTCTGTGTGAAGTAGCATTCCAAGAGTGTTTTACTGGTCAGAATTGCCAATAAACAGAAACAGGTCTCTTCATCCTTCTTTCTGGACTCTGTCTGCACCTCTGGCCAAGCTCTTTGACCTGCCCTGAGCTTTGTACCAAGTGGCTGCTTCCTCAACTGAGACGTGGAAATGGAGCAGTATTCCAGCTGAGAGGAAAAGATTGTAACATAACTACAGCCTGTACTCCTGTTTGTGTGCTCTGGTGTGATGATTATCTTTCTCACGTGACATTGATGACTTCAGTTCAACCTGTGACCCAAGAGAGACCTCCATTTCCCTTTTTAAAGCACTTCTGCCTTTCACTTCTTATCTTTTTTCTGAGTACTTCATTGGTTTTCTTAGGAATTTCATGTTAAGTCTCCAGTCTTCAGCTGGTTTTGACAAAAGCTACTGTAATAGCTCAGGTAAATGTGAAACACCTGCTGCAGCTACTGCAAGGCCAAGAGATATATTCTCACTTTTGAAAATAAGCTTTAATTCTGCTGGTTGATATATATTATTGTGGGTTTAGGAGGTAAATATGCAGTGGTTTAGTTTTATAAATAAATGTAGCATTGAGTAGTTTCCTATTTTCTTCTGATGTAATTGTTTCAAATTTAGGGGATCAAACATCATTTAGTGAGCACCTGGTATTTTTTGTTGGTTTTTGGAATAACTGGATGCGTTAATAATTTGGAAGTTGGTCCAATTTTACTGTAGCATCTAATAATTACAGTTGCTGTAGTGTGTGTAACGTTGTTTCTCCTCCGTGCTTGCAGAGTAAAGCAGTAAAGTTTTTCACAATCACTGCCCAGACCATGGAGAGCTTTGTGAAGTCATTAAGTGAAGACATGAAACAGCAGGATTTGGATTCTGATGAAAATCAGTTTGTATTAGCCTTGGCAGGGATTGTGACAAGTAAGTTCATGTTATCCCTCAGAACAGCATTCCACGTGTACTGGGAATCTATATTGCAGTAAATAGAGCTTTTCAAAGTTAAGTATTTAGTCAGTGTTCTTTTAAAGTTCTAACAGATCTTGTTACTGACACTTCTGTGAGGCTCTGTGCTGTCTGTGACGTTGTTAAGGATTAGGTGGGTAAGAGCCATTGAGTTCTGAAATTACCTAATACATCTGTTTAATCTGGAGTGAAACAAGGACCATTCTGCTGGTCTTGCATGCTCGCCTTTGTTTGTAAATGTCAAGCAATTTGCTTTCTGAATTGCCAGTAATGCCAACACCCTCAAGATGATGGGAGTAGATCAGCCCCAGCTTAAGGAATAGACTAAGTATTTTGAAACTGCTTAAATATTTTGTTGCTGTCAGATGGACCATACCTTTGCTGTCCTGAGAAAAGTAAAAGGTAATAAACCTGACTTTTGTGCGAAGTATTTGTTTTTAGGGCCAGAAAATAAGTAGAAAGCCACAGATCTGTCATAGTATGACGCCCCTTGGCTTGGAAGGCTGTGAGAAATAGGGTTGATGCATCATCTGCATTTTTGTGGAACTGTGTAACCATCGAAATGCCACTAATGGCATGATGCAAGATAGATGAAGCAGTGGTTATTTATACAAATAAGTGAATCTTGCATGAATAACTTTTCTGAATGTGTGATTTTTAGCTGTTGCAATGCCATTATAGATTGTGATAAAATCAATATGTGATGCATTATGCCACTGTACCGAGGAGGAATCCAATTCTCTCAAACTGCTTCATTGGGGGGGGCGGGAAGGAACAGCAAAAGTAAAGTCTGAAAAAAGAAAGTGTTTAAAGGCTGGGTGAGAGAGGTGGGGAGGGGAAATTGGAGTTCTGTCTGAGGAGGAATCAGGAACAGGAACCTGTTTAATCTCCTGTACCAAGTACCTGGTTACCAGGTTCTGTCACTAGTTACCTACACTTGTGCTTCATGGTTTTGGAGGAGGTTTGGGCACTTGCACAGTGCGAAGGATTTTGGGCTGCTGGAAGATGCCTCTTGGACAAAAGGATGCCCTAAAGTATGGGGCAGGTGTAAGGGAAAAATACCAATGGCAAGTCTGCTTTGGAGCAGTAGCTGGAAATAATTTTGTTTTCTGGTTTGTGCTAGAATAATGCCACAATTGCAGAGAGGTAGGAAAAGAGCTTTGGTTGTGTAATGTGCCGGGGATATTGAATCGAGCAATTGTAAAACAATCTGCAATCTCGTTTCTTTGAAGTGGAACCTATAATGGTCAGCTTTGCTCCAGTTCCACGTTATTTGCAGGTGAATAGAGCCTTTTGTTTCATAATTCCCTGTGTTGCCATTCTGAATAAATGTTTTAATTACCAAAGTAGAATTAGGAGGGAGCTCTACCAGTGTAACTTGCTGCTTCAGTATTTGCTATACGTGTGAATGTAGTTTGAAGTTTATATAAATGCCATAGTTCATTCCTCACAGCAGCATATCTTTTTAGCAGTCCTGATAATTATCAGAAACCTTTGTTTGAAACGTGGTTTTTATGGTGCTGTTTTGTGCTCTCTCACAGATGTGGCCGCGCTGGCGTGTGGCCGTGAGTTCTTGGTAAGCTCAAGTCATGTATTACTGGACACGATGATGCACCTCCTGGGAGACATGAAGCCAGGACTCTGTAACAAATTTAAAGTGTATGATGACTTCTTGTTTTTCCCTTTCAAGTGAAATGCATTATCTTGCAGTGTAGGTCACAGTGATGACAGTAGTTTTCCCACTTTCCCATCATTCCTTTCCTGGAGAGGAAATATAATTTTTGGAAGCTCTTTTCCCAGTAGCATTCCTTGCAGCTATACTAGGGTTGGCTACAAGGCTTTATCCAGTTTTTTTGTCTCTTCAGAAGTTTCTTAAACACCATAATATTGTAAAGATGAGCGGGGATGCCCCGTCTACCTTGGGAGGGGGTCGTGAGTTGAGTGTCTGGTAAAGAAGATGTGAATTTGAAATCAAAGAGGATGTGGGAAATGTGGACTCATATTTATTCCCTTCCAATATGAAGAATGTAAAATGCCACATCTGCTTAGTGAAGAAAGTGAGTTATGAATCTGCTAAGAGCAAAAATTAAATTATTTTAGGCTACTTAGTAGCCAGACTCACCACACCTTTATTTTGTAAGGATTACAAACTAAAGTTTGTTAAAAGTTAGGTAATTCCTTTAAAGGGACCTTGCGATGCAGCATTAAAGGCAAGGCCATGTGACACAGTTCAGATACTGGAAAGAAGTTTTCAGCTGGTGAAGAGATTAAATAAATTACTTTCTTTGCCTTTTCCTCAGAGATGTTACAGGCTGAGGACATATGGCCTTGACTGAGCAAATTACCGTGGCTTAATGAGTGGCTCATCTGCTAAACTATGGACACTGGTCCTGCACACCTGGTTCATTTGGTCAGGAAGGTGGTTTAAGCCACTGTGATGTTTTTTCATAAATGAGACACACACACACACACACACAAACAGTTCATACCCCTGCCAGCTGTCACAGCTCTGCTGACAAACAGCAGCCACAGTAACCTGACCACGTCCTTGCACACATTTAGGCAGGTTGTGTGGGATAGGCACGGAATCAGGCTCAGTCTTCACTCCGGAGAGGTTTTATCTGGCCTAACCCCAGCTATCAGAAAGGGAGATGTCAAGCATCTGCTGACTGCCTGGGCTTCTTCCCACAGTCAGTGGAAGGAGATGGTGCTGTCAGGTGGTGTGAGGGGGAGAACAGGTTGCCCTCTGGAGGTGTTTGTCTTTCCCTTTTGGGTATTGAGGGGAAAGCTGAACAGCCTGTGCTGTAGGTAGTGGCTTGATCAATTAATTGCTGTGTTTCCCAAGTGTTGGGCTTGAAGGTCAACAGTAGGTGTTTGTTTTTTTTTTAAGCCTCAATGGAAATATTTGTATGAGAACCTCGACTTAAGAAAGAAAAGGTAATTTGTGTAAAATGAAACAGAAGAAAGCAAACAAACAGAAAGCCCAAACAATAAACCAACCATGAAAAGAGAACCTATACTGTTTCAGAACCTGTAAATTAAAAAAAAAAGGACTTTGAGAGGAGGAGGGAGAGGAAAGTATTCCTACACACACTCACAAACACACACTCTGAATTTCAAGTGAATATGTGCATATGGGTCTAGTTAAACTATTCTTTATCATTTCAGTTTGTATTAATGTAATTGGATGATGTAATTGGATTTTGAGGGCCTTTATTTTGAATTTATGTTTTGGGTTGGTTTTAATTATATTTCAAAATCTGCCTGCCTTGCAAAAGAATGACACATAATGATATAAACTTGGCTGCCATACAGCATTACTGGTAAAATATACATAACATAAACAATCCCATGAGGGATTCAACAGAGGCCAGATTCTTAGGCTAACAAATGGAGGGAAGCTTGGAAAAGAGGTTGCACAAGGTAGTTGATAAGTGAGAAATGTTAAACATATGTTACAATAGCTTGAATTCAGTGCAGTGATAATGTTTTATGATATTCCACAGAACCAACATTTTCTTTTCTTGCTCTGAACTTGTCATGTGATAAGAAAATTGCTGTATTCTGACATTAGAGCAAATGCCAGAAAGGATGTTTCTTCATGGCCTTGTCACTGAACAAGGGAGCCTAATTTGCTCAAATCTTTTGGTGCAAAATGTTTCCTCTGTGTTTGCTTTTCATGTCTATGATCAGGTTCCTTTTTTTCCATGAGCTCCCTGGGTGTCTTGTCACTATTCAGTTCTAAAAACCTGTTACTAACACTGGATTTTTTTTCTTGTCCTTTTGGGGAATTTTACAGTCTCCCAGCCCAGCACAGAAGGGTTTGGGGAGTTGGTTGATTTGTTTTTAAACTGCTCTCTGCCTCTAAGTTTCTTTAGCTGCTTATTAACCTTAATCTACATTTTCATAAGCAGATATGTCAGTAGAACTCCCTTTTCTCCCTACCATAAGGAACATAAGGCAGGACAAAATGAAAGACAGTTGTGAGATAAGGATGTGATAATTGCCATAAATTGTAGTGCAATTTCTAAGTTATGTGAAGATGGACTCCAGAATTATCATAAATAATGTTTACACATATACTTATATACATATACACACAGACAGACACATTTTTAAAACTACACCTCACAGCTGAAAATGTCTGCTCATTATTTTGGAAATGCAATGTATTTTTCTCAAAAACACCATGGTGTTACATGGGAGGACATCAACTTGTAATTTAATCAGTTAAAGAGAAAATTTGACTTATTATTTTAAAGGATATGGTTGGCCTTTGCTTAGTTTTGAGGTTTTACAATTGTTTTCTAGCTTTTATTTTAAAAAATGTTTTTCATTGCTGTGTGACAAATCAGGGGAAACTGTGAGTCTAATTGTGCACACAGTAGTATCAAAGCAACATGACAAAGAGAAATTCTCTTATGTAGTTCTAGCAATCCTGTGTTTTACTTGTACAAATATATAAATAAAAAAATTACATGGAGAACCTACGATTTATTCCAAAACTGCTGTGATATCCATTGTAGTCTGTGAGTTTGGAATAAATATATCCAAGGCATCAACATGAGTGCTGGGACTGGAATCTCACGGGTGTCCTTGCCTTTCTGAAGTAGCAGTGATGTGAGAGACTTCAGGTTTTCTTCTCATTGGTGTAGGGTTTCTTCAACATTTGTAAATGTTAGTCAGTAAACATATACATAATTATTCATTGCTATAATTAAATAGTTAAGAACATTTAACTTTGCTTATGTAGCTGTTGAAAGTAGCCAGAAGAAATATGTACTTTGGTAGATATTAGCACGTTTTATGTACTAATCCCATGTATTAGGCAGACAAGAAGGGGCTTTAGCTGTGCTTTTATAGATTTTAAAGAAAGGATTGACAGATACAGTAGTACAAGATGTTAATTAAATTTGGCTTGCCTAAATAGGAAGATTATGAAGTGCATGATTAAGACACCCTCCATGTTAAAAAGAAACCCCAAACCAGAAAGTATTGTTTATCCCATAATTATGTGTGTCAAGTTTGCTTCAATAAGCACTTTTGCAATAATTATTGCCAAAAATACTTACTAAAATGTGCGGGTACTAGAGATGAAGGTGGTATAAAGGGCCTGGAAATGCTTCTATGTTGTGCCCAGGAGAGTGTGTTTGATTAAATGTGCTATTAGATATTAATATGCTACTGCACTGGCTTGTGGGGTGGGTTATGTCATCTCCCAACACTTCAAAACCTCAGCTCTTCCCTGGAACACCACCACCAGTCCCTTTTGTCTGCACAAAGCAAACAAGTGACACAAAAATACAAACACAGCAGTACCTTTTTGCGTCACTTTATTTCTAACTGCAAATGTCAGACAGATTAAGGGTGAAAGACCTTCTCAAGAAATGTTAACACTGCCATTATAAGATACTGGTTTATTGATCATTTCCAGTCTGCCTGCTTGTAGGGAGTTATGACTGTGCTCCTTTGTCAGGGCTTGTGTTCTGGAAGCCAAGAGCTGCAGGGGCTCTGTGAAAAGCATATTTTTCCATGTGTTTGGAGTACATGATTTAACAGTAGAAACAGTAGAAACGAGCACAGCATTGCTTATATATAATTTGAGATTTGTCTCTTTTACCAAAATATAAATTATTAGCACGGGCTCCTGCATCAGTACATGCCTGACACAAGTGGCAAAAAATGCTAAAACATGCAAAGAAATCAAAGGCCCTCACATCTTTTTTCTTTCAATTCTAGGCTAATGCTAATGTCACTTTACAATGTGAGCATCAACTTGAAAGGCTTGAAGTACATCAGTGAAAGTCCAGGTTTTATTCCCTTGCTTTGGTGGCTGTTGAATGGTAAGTTGCTCTAAAAACCTCTTAAATTGTGACTTTCTGGGTTTCATAGATTTGCAATAGGTGTTGCAAATAACAAACCAGAAATTTATGTCTGTAACCTGATTAGCTCGTGACAGATTAAAAGTAAACAAAAAGGGCAAATAGCTGGAGGGAGATGTGCACTTCCCACAAAACTTTTGGCATTGTATGTAACATTCCATTAATATAAAATTTGTGGGTGGTAGAATTAGAAAATAGGGAATGGAGAAATTTGATGAAGTGGATTAAAAAAAAAAGCCACCTGTATCTTCACATACCAACTTTAAAATTAACCCTGAGGGGAAACAATGTATCAGTTCACTACCATTCAACAAAGAAAAATGTACACGTTTTGGGGAAAGAAACCAACTCTGTAATTACACTGACCCATTGCAAAAGTGACCCTTTTGGAGCTGAAGAGAGGCCTTGTGCTCTCATAGGATTTGGGTTTGCAGGGCTTGAGTGCTATTCCCAGCTGTCTTTGGCCAGTGCAGGACTTGAAGGACATCAAGGACTCGTGTTGCCTCTGTGAGGTACATGAATGACATCCAGGCTCTGCTCTTTGGGAGGCTGGAAATCCCTGAGCAGGAGCCAGCAGAGACTGACGTTGCCAGTGTGTGCACAGCTCATGAGGGACAGCAGGACAGCAGTGAGGACAGAGCTGTGACACTCTCCTGCCTAGGAACAGCTGCTGGAGTTGCTCTATCTTGGCTTTCTCAGGTTTTTGTGGGAAGATTTTGGTGTGCAGTTCGTAGGACTGGGGAGGTTAATTATCCCTCTGTGCTGCAGTGCAAAACCCTGCTAAAATCCAACTGGTAAAATATTAACAGCAGCTGAAGTGAGAGGAGTTGCTTCTGCTTTTTGAAGAAATTATTTTGATACTGAAGCTTTGGTTTGGGTTGGTAAAGTGGAAGCTACTTGTATTGCACACAGTTCCCATAACTTTTACAGAAAATGTAGCTACTCATGCTTTTCATCAAATAATTCCCTGCTGTGGAATGCCACAGGCTCTCTCTTCTGAGGTCTCAGGAAATTAAGTAATCTTTGTAAGGGAAAACACCAGTTCTATAGAATTTTTAAATATATTTTGAGAAAAATGATATCCTCGGAGAACATCAAATACGTGGTCCTTTGTTCAGCTGTGCTTAGAAATTTAACATAAGTTAGTCCACGTTTCCCTTTTACTTCATGTTGGGTAATATATTCATAAGCTGTTCTATCAAAAAATACCAACCCAAAACACCCTCCAGAATCCTGTCTGAGTTCCTGAAGATGCCCTTCTAAATGTTGTGATGAAACAAGATAATCATTTGATGCAGTCAGTTGTCTGAAAAGGGCTCCTAGGTCACACCAGAGGATGAGAATTGGGGCACCGTTGTAATTAATTTGCAGCTCCTAATGGAAATAAGAAGTGGAAAGGCTTCTCTGCAATTTGGAAGTGTTAATTGGGTATGGCTGAGTTGAAGAAGGAAGGACTGGCATGGCTAATTCCTTCACTTTCTGATAATAAAATTCTTCAGTTACAACAAAGGAGGGAGATTCTCAGATAAACCACTTCTGCTGGTTCAGATTCCTGACTTTGGAGGAAGTCTGTTTACTGTCAAGGGAGAGAGAGGTGATTAGTTAGTATATCAGATAAGAGGTCAGATCCAAGACAGCCTTGTTCCCATCATTTTGTATGGGATCTCCGTAGCTTTCTCTACAATTAATCTGTTTCTGAATGTTTCAACTTGCAAAATTCAGTAGCTTCCTCCCAGTCTTGTTTCCCTGGCCAGCATCTTCAGCCTCTGCTGAAGCCATGATTCAGCTTCTAAACACCTGGAGCTGCTAGAGCATAAGATCTTGTTTTTTCCATGCAGGAGCAGAGCTCTACACTGTGCTGGCAGAGTATCCTGTACGTGCTGCCTGCCTGCAGGAAGCTTCTTCAAAGAGTGTTTTGATTAAGGCTTATGAGATGACTCAGCTTTCCACAGTTTTGTACGCTTTTATCAGCATTCCCACTAAGAGAGGCCCCAGAAATCATCCTCTGATTTATTTTTTTTTCATTTCCAGAGAATCATCCTGTTTCCATCATCAATCTACGAGTGTCTATGACCTCAGCAGATACATCAGACACATTTTTCTCCCATTGCCTTGTACACAGCTGATAAATCCCTCAAATTCCTTCTTGGAATTCTCAGACTCTGCCCATCCTTGTCCCCCCAAGAAGAATGTCCTTCCCATTGAGTGAAGAGAGCAAATAATTGACTTGATATTCTTTATTTCCCCTTATGCCTGAAGCAAAGAGGGATCTGATTCAAGTTGCCTCTCAGGCTTTTTGAAGAGACGGAGACATACCTTGATGTTGAATACATGGATTGAAGAGAAAGGAAAAAAAAAACTAATAAAGGCTTCTAGTGGAGTAAGAATGTTACCAGCAAACTGTCCTACTGTCTTTAGAAAATTTGGATGAGCTGGCTTTATGTTCACTAACAAGAACTCTTAATAGCTCTTTCCGCTGGAGGCTTTACTGATCATAGGAGAAAACCAAATGTTTTACACACTTTGTGAAGGTAATGCAGATCTCTGTAGTTTTAGCACTTTGTGAAGTGGACTATCTTTTTCTTCTATTTTTTTCTGCCTTTTAAAAACTGTCTAAAAGTTGGGCACCCTTTAATAAGCAACACTGATCACTGAAGAATATCCTCTGTGTAGGTATCAGCTATGCCTCCTTACATCTTCCCAGCCTGGTGCCAGCATAAAACACATGAATGATGACTCAGATTTCTGTCCGTGGAGCAGCTTGTGGCATCAACAGAGTTCTCTTCTCATGGAGCACCATTTGTTTGCAGAGCAGCTGCTCCCATCTTGGAGAAAACAGGCAGCTTTAGTTTCCTCCATCAGCTGCTGTCCCTGTGTTGATGTCTTGACTGAGGGTTTCACATAACTTTCAGATTTAAAGAAGCCCCGTCCTCAGCAACTGAAAAAGAAGCTTTATCATTTTGGGTAGAAATCCACCTGGGATTTGTCACTATTTCTTTTTCTGGTGCTTTCCATCTATAGATGCAATAAGACTTCCATCCTGTAATTCCCAAAGAGGTAGATTGGGACTTTTCTCTGCCGAGGATCCTTTGAAGAATAAGAAGACACAGTCAGCTCAGGTATTAATAATAAAGACTAGATTTTTGTTTTTCATTTTTGATCATGCAGAACATCTGCCAACAAATGAATGCTGGAGAAAAGGAGTCTGGGCTCTTCTCTGCTTTGTTAGTTTGGGTGCGATTTTTTGTTAGTTGTATTTTTCTAATTGTTGTGCATCTTTATTTTGGTTTTTTTCCCCACTTTCCTTTTCTTTGAATGCAGTTTAAAAAATCTTCGGATCCATGAGAAAGTGTGGAATTCAGAGTCACTATGTCAGTGGCATTTTTGGTCATTTCACTGGGAAATTGCTCCAGGTACTTCATTAAACAGAAGACAAAAAGAGAAGTATGACTAATTTTAGATCTTGCCCTTGAGTTTCCTCCACCACTGTTCCACATGGAAATCTAACCTTGTTTATCCAAATTCCTTGCAAATGATGGTCTCTATTATAAATGCTTGTATGAAGCACATTCTCATTTTGCTGCCTGCACCCTTCAATATTTGCTTTTCAGGACTAACCCTGAAGGCTTCTAATGCCTTGCTCTTCTGCCTGAATTCATTATAGCTGTGAGAGTTTTTGAAAATTCGGGTTATTTGCATGGCAGCATGTTATTTAAAAGACATCTGGACAAACAGAACCCTCATATTTATAAACTGATGTCTGTATTAAAACAAATTTTGGTTCATAAATCAAAACCTCGGGTTACCAGTCTTTCAAGTGCTCAACACTTTCATACCCTTCGGACTATGCAGTGAATCTTAAGAAGGGGATTGCCCTCCTTGCCCTTTAAGATCACGTCCCTTTTTGTAAATGTGAAGATGTCAGCTCTGACGCAGGAAGGCCCTGAGCCACAGTGAGCTGAGAGGCTGGAGGAGAGGCCAGGGGGAGTCTCACTGAATGCTTGTCCTTTTCCATACTCAGCTACTTGCCTGGATGGAGCTCCAGCTGGGTGCAGCGTGGCTGTCCTTACAGGAGAGGGGGGAATTCTTGTTAGCTGAACTCCTCATGGCCAGGGAGGAGACTGAAGGAAACCCAGTTGTCACACAGGAGCTGGGGCAAATATTTTGCAGAGAGAAAGGGCATTTTTGTCTGTAGGAATCGCAGCAGCAAAGCTCAGTCTGTTATTTTTCTGCCACGTTTCAGCCTGTTATTTTTCTTCCTGCTCCTTCCCCACAGAGCATCTTTACTGCAACATTTCTTATCTCCTCAGACCTATCAGCAGTAATGCCTGGAAAATGCCTGGAAAACTCTCTGCTGCTGCAGGTGCTGCTTCAGCATTGGCAAAGCAAAGGGATCCTACCTGGGGGAAGCTGTGGCTCTGGCTGTCTCTGTTAGATATATTCTGCGAACACAGATAAGTGTGACAGGCTCATAAAAAAGAAAGGCTGAGTGGCAGATCCCCCCTTCCTGCTGGAATCAGACAGTAAATGAGTTGAATGACACCTACAGCAGTGCTGGGAAGCTTTTGAAATTGTAAAATCACAGAATGGTTTGAATTGGAAGGGACCTTAAAGAACATCCAGTTCCAACCCCCCTGCTGTGGGCAGGGACACCTTCCACCTAGACCGGGTTGCTCAGAGCCCCATCCAACCTGGCTTTGAGCACTTCCAGGGATGGGGCAGCCATAGCTTCTCTGGACAAACTGTGCCAGTTCCTTACAACACACACAATGAAGAATTTCTTCCTAATATTTAATCTAACCCTACCCTCTTCCAGTTTAAAGCCATTGCCCCTTGTCCTATCACTACATGCCCTTGTACAAGGTCCTTGTCCAGCTCTCTTGTAGCCCCTTTAGGTTCTGGAAGGGGCTCTAAGGTCTCCACAGAACCTTCTTTTCTCCAGGCTCAACAGCCCCAGCTCAGCCTGTCTTCATAGAGATGCTCCAGCCTTCTGATCATCTTTGTGTCCCTCCTCTGGTCTCACTTCAACAGGTCCACATCCTCCTTATTTTGGGGATCCCAGAGCTGGATGCAGCACTGCAGGTGGGGTCTCACGAGGACAGAGGACAGAGCAGAGGGGCAGAATCCCCCCTTCACCTGCTGCCCACCCTGCTTTGGGTGCAGCCCAGGACACCATTGGTTTCTGGGCTGCCGGTGCACATGCCTGGGGCATTTCCAGTCTCTCAGCCACCAGCATCCCCAAGTCCTTTTCCTCAGGGCTGCTCTCAATGCCTGTATTTGTGCTTGGAATTGCCCTGACCCGTGTGCAGGACCTTGCACTTGGCCTTGTGAACTCCTCTGATCTTGTGCACGGACGTAGCTGTAAACAGCCTGCTGGCAATAAACCTTGCACTCAGGTGGCCAGGGAGTGGTGTGGCCACGTGTAAATTGAGTTCACACAGCTCAGAGGCAACTGTGGATAAGCTGTTCAGCACTGATGTAATGCCATTACCTAAACCCTGCTGCGGGAAACAGTTCATCTGAGAGCTTGTTGCTAATGACAGATGTGACTAAAATCTGTCCACGCCATCGGGTACTTTTGTCAGTGAGTGACAGCCAGTGACATCAAAGGGCAGAGCTGGCAGCTGGCAGGACGTCAGCAAACTCCAGCAGTTACAACACCTTGGTAAAATTACATCAGCATCTTATGGTGGTGGCAGGTTTGTGCTACGCTTGTGATCCCTGGCTGAGGCAAGCAGCTTGATTTCTCCCCCTCTTCCCCAGAAATAACGGCTGTAGTTTTGAAATTTTAACTGGAGATGTGTGTGCTGGTTGTTGGGAGGATGTGATGCAGTGATTTGATTACAGCTAAAAGGATTTTTTTTTTTGATCTTGTACAAACAAAATGTTACTCAGCTAGTGTAGAAATGACTAAATCTGGAAGCTATTGAGATAAATATAATGCTGAATAATGAAGATTCCTTACATTTTCCTGAGTGCTCTGTAGACAGGGCTTTTAGAAAAAGTCCCTAATGATATTGGAGACAAGCGAAAGGATTCTATGGTTTGCCTTTTTTTTTTTGTTTAAATCCTCTTAGGAAACATGATTATCCGTAATAAGTAGTATTCTCAAAACCACATGTAATCCTAAGGGAGCGTATTTTAAGGCATATGTATTTATTTAACTGGGAACATCTCAGAATACATTCAAAACAATGGCAATCTGAGGTTAAATGTGTATTAAGTCATCCTCTGGTGCACGATCATTTCCTTCCTTTGCTGTGTGCCCACGTGCCTGATCTGTTCTTCATTTGAGCGACTCAAGCTGTTGAGCTTCCCTGGCTGCTGCTGGAGGTTCTTCCTAGAACCTCTTTGCTCTTACTGGAAAATGTCCTTGCTTGTCAAGCTGGAAATCATTTCCTGATCTCCTACAGATCCTCACTTTTGTTGGCTCCCCTGCTAACGCTTCTTCCCTGATCAATTCTTTACTTTCTACAGCCCTCAAACGCAGATAACAGTAACATTGATGCCTGTAACAGTATTAATAAAAAAGCTCTTTTCATCTTACATGTATGAAGCTTCCCAGCAGTACTGCAAGCCATTACAAGCATTAATGGCTTTATTTTGTGGAGGAATAATGTCACAAGGAGTAAGATTATAATGAACTACATGGATTTCACTCCCCAAAGCTTCTTTCTTCTTAGCTATTTGGGCTATAGTTTGTGGCTGCTATTTCTGGTGAATAAACATAGAATTCTAAGTACAGAAAAAGGGGGCAGATGATGTGTGCAGAGTTTGAACATTATATATGGCAAAAAAAATAGGCATTAAAAACAAAAAAAATGTGGCAGGCATGGAGACAAAAATGGAAGGAATGAGAGAATGAATTTGAGGCTTTTAGTCATATTTTGATTAGTTCAGAATAAATCTGAAAGCCAAAACTTGCACCCAAGTGTTTTTTTAGAAGGATTCACTGAAGTGTTGCTGCCCAGAAAATTGGACATAAAGTGTTGCTGTCTCTGAGGCTGAGCTGCAGCGTTTCTCCATGGGTCGTGGCTGCTTATAACTCAGAAAGTCACATCGTGCTGGAGATGATGATGGAAAGAGACTCCTTGGAGCCTTCAGCCTGGGTGTCAGCAATAGGAGTGGCTGTACCATGGGTGTGCCCACTTCTGTGGGGTGTGCAGCACTAATCATTGGGGGTTTATTGATGGTTTTCCAAGAGAAAGTAGAATTCCTTTCTTAGGGGGTTGATTTTTTTCCATTTATGATGGAAAATGGAGGAAGAGAGAGAGAGTGCCTGGCTTGTGGGTGTAGATCAGATGTCACAATCTTTAATATTGTACTTCAGCCATGTGCTACTGGGGATTACTTAAAAATCCCCATTTTAGCAGTCATGCTTAAAACCATAGTCTTCTTCACTGTCCATCACATTCTGTTCTCTGCCCCCTGGGTGCTTTCAGACCTTGTGCTTTAATGAATAATTCTCCTCAGTCCTTTTTCAGGTCACCAGTGTTAGGTATTAAATAAGCCAGGAAAGGAAAGAACTCACCTCAGCCCAGCAAATGCTTCCTTCACCCTCAGTGCAGAGTGGTTTATCACTGCGCTGCATTTGTGCTCCTTCAGTGAGATTTTGGCCTCTCTGGTGATTTTGTGCACAAAGGGATCTGAATTAATTTTCTCAATGTTTCTGCACAATGCTTTATCTAAAGCTTGCTGAAGACTAGGTATGCTAATGAAAAGTGCATTAAAAATGCACGGCACGTGGGGCAAATAACTACTTCAGCCATAAAAATATATTAGGCATTTTCATTTGGAAAATGCAGAATAGAGAAGTCTTTCTACCACATGCTTTTGATAAAGCTGTAAACCACTAAATGCAAATGGACTGTTGTGAATGATTAAAATATAATGCTTCCTAATGTTTCAGTTAATTAAAAATGCATCCTGTGTTCTTAGCAGTGGAGTTATTGCACGTCTTCCTGGCTTAAGTCAGTCAAAGGTCTTTGCTGCATTCCTGAGCAGCAGTGCTTAGCTCCAGTACCCATTTCAATTTTGTGTAGACTGAATTAAACACTTGGAAGGTTGATACATGGTTACTAAAAAGTTTTATGAAGATTAATATTTTATTGAGCTTTGAAGAAATCCGAAGGCTCACAGAAAAAGGAATGAAAGAAAAGCCTGATGATTTACTGCAGATTTGATTCCTTGGTCTGTTTGTTTTTTAAGTCTGAATAATCATGGGATGTAGCTTGTTCTGCTCTTAAATTGGATTCCATCCAACAGTACATCCTGGGTACTGATTGGATAAATCCAAGTAGATAAATTCCCTGCTTTATAGTATTTTCAACATCTGAAAAACAAGGGAAAGGTTCCTGGTTATCTCTCCCTCCCAAACACTGCTGAGCAGAGGCTGCTGAGAGAGGATCAAGATGTTGTTTTCAGGTTCCTCTTAGAGCCAAGCAGCCAGCACCAAATGCCAGCTGGGAATTATGACCCTTGAGTTATTCCCTATCTGCCTGGTAGGTCATGAGGAATGGCACTGTAGACCTTTAGTGCTGCCTTTTTGGACTCATAACAAACCCTGGATATTTTTGTTTCCTGCTTTTAGACCCGGACACAGAAGTTTGCCTTCATGCTCTGAGGCTCCTGCAGTCGGTGATCCTGGAGCCAGAAGTCTTGGCCAGGACAGCTCCCGAGCTGAGGGATACTCTGCCATTCCAGCGCATCCTCGCCCTGTCAAAGAGCCGCAATGCAGATCTGCAGGCACTTGCAAAAGAACTACTTGAAGATCT